CCCGGTGTCCTCGCAAATGTGCGTCAGTCCCTGTAGGTGTGAAGCTGCGTTCCAACTGACAGAAGCTCTTTTGAGCAATTTCTATGAGCATTTTCCGTTAATAAAATGTTTCCTGAAGTACCTCCTCTCACTTTTGTATTGATTCTTTAAATCTGACAGTGGAAAACGATACTTTAAAAAAAAATTATACAAAATGCCGTTAAAGGTTTATAAAATATGGTTTGGTTTATTTAATTATGGCAAAGCACACTAGGGCTATCTGCCTAAGGGAAGGGATGCCTTCGTGGAGGACTTTCTAAGGGAAACTGACTCGTATACACGTTACACATGGGGAAAACCACGAAAACGCCCATGCAGCCAGCCCGTTCGCGGGATTCGAACCTCGGATCGAACTACGAGTGTTCAGCGACTTTACCGCTCGGCCGCTGGTGTGCCGTTTATAAAATATGAAAAAGACAATAAAACAAGTTCAGACTTGCAGGCGCCCATTCGGGTGGAAGACTACGTTATTCAAAATTGGATGTCTCTGTAGGGACATTAGGTTATTTTGAAGCTGGAGATGTGACAAATGAGCAATCCCCTTGCCGAGACTCGAACCTCGGACCTCTCGAATACGCGCCAAGCGTGCTGACCATCACACTACGAAGGCACACTAAGAGGCGGTAAGAAATACTTTATATACTTCCTTTTTTAATGGGCGACTGGAGATTAGCTGACCCAGTCGCCAAATCCTGGTGGTGAAGAATCATCATCCACCACTTTTTTTAGTTCGTTAGCCACTGTAGAGACATTATGATATTTCGAAGCAGGAGTTATGAAAGTGAGTCTCTAACCTCGGACTTTAGAATACGCGCCAAGCGTGCTGACCATTACGCCACGAAAGCATGATAAGAAGACGGGAGAAAAACCTTATAGCTCTAGGTACTGTTGTTTTACCAAAATGTGATAAAAATACGTACATTCATGCAGATTCTTCATTATTTAATTTCTTTAAATATAATACCGGGCGATAATATGTGGTGGCAACAATCTGAAAAGTGTAAAGGATTTTTAAAAAAGGTTCTGCTTAAATAGGTGATGAAAATATCTTGGAAGAGACGAAAATGGGTGAGAAATATATGTCTATCAATAAAAAATAGCTTAGATCCTTGAGGAGGCATATATAAATAGCATATTCCTTGAGGAACATTTTCTTCTCCGTGTCTTGTAGAAGTTTTCTTTCTCCATTACGCAAATTTTCGTACTCCAAAATATAAAGCTGTCAATGATTACTGTGAGAGGGGGGGGATACCGATATCCCCCTCTGTGCACTGAGAAACTAAGAAAAAGAAAAGTAATTTTTTTTCAGAGTTCTTTTTTAGTTTTATGTTACACAAAGCACTAAGTACAGAGAAAACGTAATTTGTTTGAAAAGCAGTGAGAGAACGATAGAAAGAATGCACAGGCGTGAATTTTGAGACGCAACTCGAGAGCCATCAGCAAGAACAAAGAATGGGATAATTGAGTTATCTTTCAAGATTCCGATGTCAGTAGTGATGGGTATTCATTAGCAAACCTTTTTACTCGGATCAAAATAGGTAGGGGGGGACGAAAGAGGAGAATGATCGGTAAGGAAAACAATTGCAAGGCAAAAAAAGAGATATCCCCAGTTAATAAGGAAGTGCTGCCATCTATTGGAGAGAACATAAGAGATTTGTGGAATAAATCTCAGTTAACCAATTTGTGGGATAGTGCTGCCATCTATACACAGGACTACAAGGTAGAAAACCTGCAGCGGACGCGAGAAACGGCTACTCGTGGGAAGCGCTGGCAGTGCTGCCATCTAGTTCCTTTTTCAGTTAGGGGCACAAAATCAAATCACTGCTAATTTATATACATACATACAAATATGCATTTTACTTTGCTAGAAAAAATGAAGATTTTTCTTGCGTTACTAATATAGCATGAATTATCATTCAAATAATTCTATACATAAACAACGTTTCTCGTTTTTTACATCTAGATCGGCGATTCGCAACCTTTTTCCTTTCGTATACTCTTTACTTATTCACAATTATTGTGACATATTCACTTGTCTAATAGTAAATCCTCCACAAACAACACATAAAATATCCACGAATTTTTTGTGGCTAGGATCGTGTTTTGTCTTTGGCATGGATCTTGGGTACCTTATGGGTGACAGAATAATTTTGCATAATACTGTCCAAACTTTGAAGGAGAATCACCTCCCCCCCCCGGGGAGTACGATTCCAAGAGTCTCCCATCTCCCATTCTGTCTTTTTGTTGAGCACTATTGCCCCAATACTATTAAGACACATTAACAAACATTCTAAAGCACAATGAACTTGGCCCAAGCAATATGGCAGCCAGCAATGCTAACCACCATTCCAATCAAAGGGCATAGGCCTTTATAATTATAGGGTACTCCTAATTGAGTACCCCTAATAGATTAGGCTTTCTTTTCCCTCCAATATTTCCATAATCTTTTTCATTGTATTTTTACTTTACTACTATTGTGACAATTATTAATTTTTTATTTATAATTATATCCCTGTTGAACTTTATTAAATTAAAATTACTATAAAACAAAAATGCTAATAAATTAAAACTTTATTAAATGTAATGAATTAAAATTCAATTAACCTCATAAAGTTCTTTTACGTTAATTAACCAGTGTAACAGATGGTATGAGTCATTCTTCAAAATGGAGCATCTCCTCTAGGTCAGGTGATGCGAGATTCGCCAAAATATAAACATTCTTTTTCTTTTTTGCAGGGCATGTGACACAACGAACGTTACAGTAAGAACTTTTTAGAACGATTCCCGCGAACTAAACAATTCTCTCACTTTTATTATTTCTTTTGCGTCATTAATTCATAAATGAATTGATGTTTGTCATACGTAATTGTTTTAATTATTAGCTATTAGCCCCGAGACTCTTTAATAACGGTTAAGAAGAGAAATGTGTTATACCAGTTATTTTAGGTTTTGGATCTTTACGGTCACTTCTCCCTTCCGTTTTCCCACCAGAATGCAAATCTAGTGTGCTTGTATTTAAGGTGAGGTTTTTAGATTGTAAAGTGGAGCGTATTCTACTTCTCGAGGTTATAGTCCTAGGTTGCTAGACAAGATACAGATTTGCAGGCTTCAGACCTTGCATTATTATTGCTCAGAGTTAATATCCACGCCAGTTAAACTTTGAGCCAACTTTTCGTTAAGCAGTTTGTGAAGCCTTCAGCTATTAACTTATTTCAAATTAAATTTTACATTTGACTTAACACAAGTGATATCTTACCATATGATAACTTAAAGTGGCCACTTTAAATTATCTTGTCGTAAGTGGTTGGCTGAGTTGTAAGCACAAAGTATGAATTCTGTTCTTATTTAGTTTTAAATAAAGGGTCTTAGGGATGATTTGTAACGTAGGGATGGTTTGCTTAATGTCTACCAAGAGTTTAGACACTGTGGATGATTCCAGAGCACACTAAACTCTACAACGTTATTAAACAAAATCAACCTACACTCTGTTAAATTTACCTGTAAACTTGTAAACTATTTAAATTTATCTGTGAATATTAATTACCTGTAATAAAATTTACCTGTAAACTATTGTTACAAAATTCCCAGCCATACCTTCCCTGCAAAGCGGGTTTAGGGTGCCAGAAAACAGACATGAATGACAGGGTTACCAGACGTGGTGCGAAATCGTCCATTTGGCGATATGTCATAGACGAAGCGAGAACATTCTAGAATGAATTCTTACCGGTTTGCCCCAGAACGTTCTCCAAGGCAGGTCAAAATCTATATAAATCCTTCTTGTAAGAGGAGTAGCAGTTTATCGTGTACAGTATCTAGAGTACTTTGAATTTAGTAGTAGTGCCTTGAGCTTCGAGAGTGATCAACCGAATCGGGAGCTGCACTTTAGTGCTTTGCCGTGAAGCTGTGCTCACCGTTTTAGATTGAAAGCTGTGTTGCTGATTATTTCAGCGTGTTCGTCGTAGTTTTTTGCCGACTGTAACGCGTCTTTGGAACTCCCCCGTGTAATACTGACGAATAAATCGTGATTTGATTATTCATCAAGTTTTCTCATCAATCACTCCAAATCCACGAATCCATACAACGTAACTCTATTAATCTAAACCTTTACAGCGAGATTTGTTAAGCATCTTCGCTCATCTCGAAATATTAGCTCAGACCTGAAAGTTACGCAAATTTAACAGCAAACGGCATAGTTTAAAAATAGAAAGTTAATCTTAACCAAAAGATTACTGGAGTTTTTACCATGACACCGGTGTGTTATTCTGAGCTCAGAAGTGACTAAAGTTAGTAATGGCTCTGCTGTCACAAATGTTTTATGAAAACAAAAATGAAAGCAAAAATGAGTAGCCTGCCAGGTGTTTATTTTAAAATTTAAGGCCTTGAATTTAATATTTGTTTATTTTACGCTCGAGAGGATGGCAGCTGTCCCCCTGCCCCCAACCCGTCGCTTTCGAAAATGTATTTTTATCTCCAGCGACTACCGAGACTGTTGCCACTCTGAAAAATGAGCGCGGAAATTAATGTTTTCGTAGTTTTTAATTAATATCTCTGCTAATTAAAGTCGTACGAAGAAGAAACCGGTATCGATGGATTCGGAGAATTTTTTGGAATCGGGAGATATGCATTTCGAAATTCAACTCGGCGCCGTTCCCAAGATATTCGAGAAAAAAGAATTTTGTACGTAGCCAAATCCCTCTAATAGGGAAAACCCGAGAAAGAAAGTGGGAAAGCGTAGGGGAAAATTAGTTTTTAATTAATATCTCGGCTAATTCAAGTCGCACGAACAAGCGAATGGTCAAAATGGCGTGCCACGGACGTGACGGTGTGCTTCGCTAAGCCCAGGACACAGCCGTTCCGGAGGAGATGAGGTTACAAACGGTATCTTTAATTTAATGTTTCGTATTGAAAATAATCAAACTTATTTTATTAAAACAATTTTAGAAAGGTTATTTGTAACTTACCTCTCAGGAATTGGGGGAGGAATTAAAGTCGATGATATTTGACCTTTTGATTGCAAGGCTGAAATTTCCTCCACTGTGTCCTCGAATGGATTAGTGATTTTCAAGAATGGATTTTTACAATCTGTGCCACCCTTGAATGGATTCGTTTCACTCATTCTGAAAGGGTTAGTACCAGAAATTTCTTTCGAAACCACCTTAAGTGGAGCGGAATCAACCAGTGAATTTTCGAAGACAGGCATTGCATTGTTGAATACTTCCACTTTCGAAATATTGGAAGCGTCAGACTCACAGCGAACAAAAACCTCATAGCAGTTACAACTATTGCTATCCACGGATGGTACTTCCTTCACATTCCCATTGTTGGTAGGTGTTACAATCTCTTTTGAATTTTCGTCATCAAAAAATATTTTAATTTTTTTAATTGGGGACATTCCCTCATTCTGTTCGAGCTCGGTTTCAGAAGACGCAGGTTCTGCTGGAGCATCTTGGATTTTGATGCAAGTAGAATGCTTGTTACTGTTCGATTTAGAATTTTCAACAACCTTTGATTTCTTAGCTACATTTATCTTTGGGCTCCGAGAGCCTTTTGGACTGGATTTAGTGATGGTAGGCGAAACGGACGAACGACTGCCAGTAAATATGGGCCTCGGAATGCGAGAGGGTTGATCAGCAGATCCAGGGTCGCTACGCGTTCGACGAGCTGGAAGGTGTTTACTCATTCTTGGAGGCACACTGGGGTGGGATAAGACTTTTTTAGGGGTTGATGTAGGCGGTGACCCAATTTTACCTTTTGCTTTCACCGGCTTTTTGGAATTCTTCGATGTGCTGAATAATTTTGAGCTTGAAGGAACAGGTGGTGATAGAATAGTTCCAGAATTTATTTCATTACTAAAAGTTTCGGGGTGCATTCCATTTTAGCTGCTATATTCTTCTCCTGGCAGTCAGAGATTACACCATTTTTCAGATTATTTACATTACTTGTATCTAAATCTCCAGTTACTGAGTTTAAGTCCTTTTTAACTTCCGCTTCATTAGAAGTCTTGTCTTCCTCTGCCCTGCGAACATCTTCACAACTATTGCTGTTAGTTATGACTACTATTGGGCCCCTCTGAGTGTCCTTTTTACTCTGCAACTCCTCACTGTCTTTTGGCTCGCCTGCATCTAACTCTTTCTCCAACCTAAAAACATTAAAGATTTAAGGGTGAAACATAATAAAAAATAAGCACAAGCAGCATACAAAAACTGGTATATTATGTCGATTTTTTGCTTCACAACAAAATAAATAAATCATGTTGCTAATATGTTATTTAAAAGCTATAAAAACATAAAGAATAGTTATTTTTTAATTTTGTGGGTAGACGTAATAATATTAATTTGCTAACTTTGGTAAAACAAAAACTTTGTAACTAGTATTTTCCGAAGCAGGTTGTTTCGACGCCAACATTTCGACGCAGGGGCAATTGGACGCCATATTTTTTTTCAGATTTTTATTTATTTTTAGAATAAATATGAAGTAATAGAAATAAGTAATATGACTGATTGTTATTTATTGAATTAGCAATTGCTTGCATGCATATTTGAAATAAATATATGTGTGAGAGTGTTCTAGATTTTTTGTTTGTGTCCCAGATTAGAGAAGCCCCCTCACTCCGTGGGACCGGAAACTTTTTATTATTTATTTATTTCAAACCCTATTGCAAATACCTGGAAAAAACTTGGTTAAGGTAGTTTGTATATCACAAATTATTACGTAAATAGATTCAGATAAATAAGATTAAGACCAGATAAATAAATTAAGATTAGATTACAGATAAATAAGATTACAGATAAATAGGATACACAGAACAGTTATTGTACTAATCCATTGCAAAATTATGCGCCACACCTTTCAGGTATTGATTATTTCTCGATTTTAAAAATCTTCAACTATTATTTTAATTCTCATATCAGCTCGCAGATACCTATTCCGCTTGTGCGGTGGTTCATTTCCACGTACAAATTGTTCAATAGCATTGATTAATTGATTTTTGAACGCGCCTGATACCATCTACGAATTCCCATAATGTGGGGTGAGAAACACCAAATGATGATGACACCAAATTTATTTCAATGATGATGCAAACTTATTCTAAAAATAAATAAAAATACGAAAATTATGGCGTCAAACAAAAGCAAAAAAAGTATTGCGTCGAAATGACCTCGCGTCGAAACCCTGGCGTCGAACCGTTGGCGTCGAACTGACCTGTACCAAGTATTTTCACATTTGATAAGCTTATCACAAGCGTTTTTGATATACATTGAAACAGATCTGATTCCACATCTTTTGCCATATACTGGGTGTATCAGCACAGCGTTCACAAACTTTCGGAAGAGACAGAGTACACCCAAACGATAGGAAATCACATAAGAATGCATGGCCAATGCTTTCCTCGCGCAGTAGTGACGACGCAGAAGTCAAGAAAGAAAGGACACGAACGGGGTGAGAAAACATGTTTATTAATCGGAGTAGAACAGAAGCAAACCAAAAAACAACGTAAAGAAAAAAAAAAAAAATCTGAAAGGTTTTAGATTTTAAGTAACGTCCAAAGGGGAGTATTTATAACATTTCGCGTGTTACCTTCATTTATTAAATATAGTGTTATTCACACTTAAACCATAAAATTCAGTTCAAGAGCAATATCACAAACTAATTAAAAACAGCATATCTTTAGAATTTCCGATAGACAGTCTCGCCCCCCCCCTCCGTACAGTGTTGCCATTACTGGCTTTGAAATCGTTGTGTTAATAAAAATTTGTTAATGTTTTACAAAATTTGAAACAGATAATAAAACAAATTCGAAGTTAAAATTTACAAAACTATAAATTAAACCAAATCTTAAAAAAAAAAAAAAAAAAAAAAAAAATGAAGGGTCTCAGATTTTAAATTACGTCCAAAGGGGCGTTTCTTTAACATTTTGTAGGTAACCTTTATTTATTAAATATCATGTTCTTCGCACTTCAACCATAAATTTCAGTTCAATAGCAATGTCGCAAAATAATTTTAAAATGAGCCTAACTTTACAATTTCTGATACACAGTTCCGTGCGCTGGAGATAAATAGGTTGTGTGTGTGCGTGTATTTTTTTTTTCCTCGTAGATTGTTGCCATTGCTCGCTTTCAAATCGTTGAGATTGTTACTCAAAAATTAGTTAAGTTTTAAAAAATATGTAATCGATAATAAAACAAATTTCAAATATAGACTTCCACATGCCCATATCCGTAAGAGGATTATGTACCGTTGTTTTATCACAAAGCTAGAAATATACATACATTTATGCAGATTTTTCATTATTTAAGTTCTTCAAATATAATACACATGTGTATAATTTACTATTTTATATGTACGATAATTGCTCGTGTGAAAGTTTACTTACTTTTCGAAAGGTGAGAGGACCTGCTCTAGATCAAATGTCATTTCCGTGGAAGATTTGCTGCATCTTTCGGAGAAGCTCGAATTAGCAGTACTGGCCCTAGAAAAACGGTCAATGACGGTAGAAACGGAGCTGCCGGTGTCATCCGTGTCCGATTCCAGAAGAGATTCCATATCATCTTCTTCGGGTATGACGTCCATGTAAGAGAAGGCCGGATCCGGCAGCAAGCAAGGTGGCTCCCGGAAGAAAGCCTGATTACCTGTCAGGAAAGCATCCCACGCTGTAAACGTCGACGGAGATGGATGGTCATCTACAGGGTAAAACTCCAGATCTTGATCCATTTTGGAACAGCTGTTAAAAAAGAATTAAAACGGAGCATTCAGGTGCATGCAGATTTACACTGGTGAACAACAATTAAATAGACAGATGAAATTTACATTAAATTAAAAAATCTGATGTGTACACCACATGACTTCCTTGTATTGGAATATAAAATTGGAATATTAAATTATACGCATTTTTTCTTCCATTTCATTTAAACTTATTGGATTTAATTAAATCTACTTCGCCGAAAGCCGCATAAAAACCACAATAGAAAAAATGCATTTTTAAAATTCACTCAAGTATTTGTTTACCATAGCGACATCTGCGCTAGATTCAATTAACAGTATTAATAATAATAACAGTTAACTTATAATAATTATATAACGAAACTAAGTCAACTGTTATATAATAAAATAATTTTATAACAGTTAACGTTTATATTCGTTCATATTATAACTCGTAATGCACCAAAATTTAGATCATTTAAAGAATTATCTAATCGTTGCCACATGTTCTATTCAAATACTATAATAAAGCTAGAATGATGTATAAAAAATTAAGCAAACAAAACAAAAAAGAAAACAGAATTTTCACAGACGATTGAGTATTTCTCATTCAATTAATTCAGTTCTCACTTCGCGACAAGGCAAAAAATACACAAAAACTCAAAATATCTGTATTAAAAATTACGAAGTAAATCTTAAAACGCATATTTCCTCGAAAAAATTCCAGAAAGGATTAAGCATGATTTAAATAATAAATGAAGACGTTAATTTTGTTTTTGAGAAGCTAAGTTTCTCTAGATTGGCACCAAATCCGCTATCCTGCTGTTTCAAATGTAAACAAGAGCAATGGTCGCCATCAAACGCATTATTAGGCTTAGCGGCACCTAAACAATTTTAAAATTGCTCATAATTCTAAAAATATTGCATACAGATTTACTAAAGGCATAAAAACCTTAACCGGAAGATAAGAATAACATAATTCAATCATTTTTTAAAGCAAAAAATGTACAATTTACAAACATATAAGAGTAAAGAAACTGAGATCGCTGAGCCGGGTAACAGAGTGGATACATTTATAAATATATTTAGATACGTTTAGCGCGTCCGATTGAAACCAAAATACGAGGTGCAAATCTACATGTTATAGTAGTCTTATATACAAAATTTCAACGTTCTCAGTCTACTCGTTTTTGAGTTATGCGAGATACGTACGTACGCACGCACGTACGTACGTACATACACTCGTACAGATGCCACGAAAAATTCCCTTCAGAATTTATTTTAAAGCAGTTTTATAATTCTTTTGAAGGAAAAGAGTATTTTATTCTGTCCTTACGTACAGATATCACGCAAAAACATCGTTAAATTGCATTCGATAGCGGTCAAAATGGATATTTTCGTTGAAATATGCTGCCTGAAACGTTTCGCGATTACAATACTTCCTTTTTACTTCGTACAAGGAAGTAAAAACATGTTATAAGATATCATTTACACTGATACTAACAAAGCGAAGGAAATTCATATTTGTTTCCATTCAGCTGAGTACTAAGATTTATTTTTAGTATTATATTATTTTCAGTTTAATATTCATTGTATTTACGTTTCGTAGTATTTACAAATTTCCTTTTTAAATACAATGAAAAATCGCTAAAAATACTCAAGTTTCAGACGAATTTTATCTCCTAGAGGGCAGTCTACAGAAGCCATATACAATATCGATGTTTATGTTCTTAGAAATAATGAACTTAGAAATAATTCTTAAGAGATGGTCATAGCGGATTTGAATGCATTTTTAGATATTTATATGTTAAAATTTTCATCTCTATAATACACGCAGAGGGAAAAGAAAATTATATCTTACATTACATAAAATTACATCTTACATTACATAAAATTACATCTTACATTCGTGTTCTGCTACTGTGAGAAAGTATACGCATTTTGCCATCTTCGGCATATGAAGTGAGGAAACACATTAGTTCCCAACTTTTTTTTTCCTCAGCACGAATACGAATTTTATTTTGCTTCAGGTAAAATGTCTCCTTCAAAAGGCCGATTTCAGTTAAAATGTCAATTTTTTTTTTTTTTTTTTATTTAACACTCTTAAAGGTCATATTTCTAGATATCAAAAACAATTTTTCTTATCAACATACTTTTAGAATTTCCCATACACAGTCTCGCGCGCTGGAGATAAAAAGCTTCCCCCCCCGTACAGTGTTGCCATCGCTTGCTTTGAAATCGTCGAGTTTCTTATCAAAAACTCATAAATGCTTTACAAAATATGAAATAGATAATAAAACAAATTCCAAATTTGGGCTTCCAGATGCCCATATTCGATGGATGATTACGTTGTTCAAAACTGAATGGCTCTAGGTACCGTTGTTTTTTCACAGTGTGAGAAACATACCTACATTTATTCAGATTCTTCATCGTTTAGTTTTTCATCGATAAACAAATATATCGATAATCATAGTTCATCGATAAACAAACTTCACATCAAATAATACAATAAGACATTTTTGCTAAAAGAGTAAAATAGTTGGTGATGATTTTCTAAAATTTCAAAACGCACTTCAGCTAGCCCCTCAAATAAGTGATTGTCGAAAACAGAAATTAACAGAACGAAGAGCTGTATGAGAAACCTTAATAATTCCATTCATTTATATTACTTGTTATCAATGTGTTTGTTTCCATTGTCTTCACTTACATTTTCACAACAACACGTGCAAGAAGATGAATATAATATACCATTTGCTCCGTCTCAACCGTCTTAATGAGGTATGAGAAACAGCAAGTAATTCTGTTTATTTAGGTGTTAACATAAAACCTGAAAATATCTTTATTAAAAATTGAAAAATATAAAACACCAAATACAGTTAAAGCAATTAAAATGAAACAATTATTTCAATTAAAATAAAAGTTCCGGTGCAAAAACAAGCCATTCGGCCAGCGGGCAAGAAGGCACACTTTTCGGTGCACAAAATTGTAAGTTTACTTTTAATCCCACTCGGCCAAAAGACACCGAAGATGCAGAAACTGACTAATTCACTATTCTGCTAAGTTTCAAATGCAAGCAAATATGGCTGCTTAAGAAAAATTAGGCTTAGCCGCACTTAAACAACTTTTAAATCGTTGATAATTCTACAGCTGTTGAATGTAGATTAACTAAGAGCATAAAAACCTTAACCTTAAAGTAAGGTTGAACAACATAATTCAATCAATTTTAAAGCAAAAAATGCACAATTTACCAACATATAATAATAAAAAGAAATGAGCTCACCGAGCCAAGTAACAGAGTGGCTATATCTATATACAGTGCAAAGTCCGTAATCCGGACTCGTCCTGACTTTTCCTGGTTTTTTCCGGATTATAGATCAACAATTTAAATCTGTTAAGATGGCATGCAGAAATTATACAATTAAAAATATGAAATCGTAATTTATGAAATAAAGAGCAATTATGATCTAAAGGGTATCAAAATTTACAAAAAAAAAGCTTAATATTTATTTGTTTACTTTATTAAACATTTCTTTCAATGTAAGTTCTTTCGTTTTTTTGTGCTAATACTTTCTCTTTTAAGTCTCTCTTCTATAAACAGACATAATTTCTTGTTCAGTTACAAAGTTCCACTGTTCAAATCCTGTAATTGCTGTGCCTAGAATACCGACTAACTTGTCAATCGTAATATTTTTCGTTTTCAATAACCTCTCTGTCACTGTCTTCACTATCGGAAGCGCACATGTGTAAACGCTTTACTGGCTTTACGCGCATGTGTGAGTTTGTGGCTTTGAGGTCCGGATTATAGATCATTCCGGATAATGGACGTCCGGATTACGGACTTTGTACTATATATATATATATATATTTATTTATATACTTTTGGTGCGACACATTGCTACCAAAAAGGAAGATGCACAACTGCATATTATAGCAGTCTTATATACAAAATTCCAACGTTCTGAGGCTACTGGTTTTTGAGCTATGTCAGATACGAACGCATAGCCGTCACGGAAAAAATCTCTTTTGAAACCATTTTAAATCCTTTTTGCAACCCGCTTTGGGAAAAAGAGTCCTTTATTCTGTCCTTACGTACAGATGTCAGGGAAAAACATCGTTTAAATTGCATTCGATAGCGGTCAAAATGGATATTTTCGTTGAAATATGATACCCGAAAATTTTCGTGACTATAATACTTCCTTTACTTCGTACAAGGAAGTAAAAATTAACAAGTAAATCGATACAACTGGCATTTAAAATTACGGAGATGTTACTAACTATGTTCGAAGCTGCAATGCGTTTTTGCGATTCTAATGTTCCAAAACACTAGATGATTTTGTTAGAAAGTTTGTTTTTAGTGATCGAAAATCTCATATCTAATATTTTTTCGTATTATCTAACGAAGTTTACTGGTTAATTTCAACAGACACCATCACTTTTAATGTACAAAATCAGCCCTATTATCCTTATGAAGTAATGGGCTGTAAGACCTCTCGTGAGCAAATGAATCTCAGCTACTGAAGAGCTGCCAAATAGTTCTCACCTAATTCACAAGTCAAACAACAAAAATCAGCGTAATATTTTCAAATTTTCACAGGACTAGTTTCGATGGTTTTACCGAACCACCATCCTCAGCTGCAAAAGCGCAAATGAACGAAATAGGATATAATGATTAGATAAGATAAGAAAGCTTGGACAGAAAATAAGCTAGTGGCGCCATCTGTTGATGAAACTAAAACATAATTTCTTTAAAGGCCGAAGGCAAGATAGATTGGAATTAGAATCGTTAACTAGAACAGAAAGATTTTTAGAAAATCCAGTTTTCCAATGGAAGATGTTTTTTGAATAATTTTGGCAGCAGAAAAATTGAAAGTGTGATTTTCGCACCAACAATGTTGGGCAACAGAAGACTTCTGTGTCTCCTTTTTTCTAACATATGCCTCATGTTTCTTGACGCGAAATTTTAAAGCTCTCTTAGTTTGGCCAGTGTAAAATGGGGTCCTTGAGTATGGAACTCGGAATTTTATGGATGGGAGAATAAACGACTCAAAAGTTAAATTTTTGCAAAATATGTGCAACTTTATAGCGAATTGATGGAAAAAAAGGAATGACAACGGAATTTTTATAATCTCCTAAAACAAGAGGGTGCCTTTTAGTGTGTTGAGATGAGAATTTTTTAACTGCTTGATTAATAATGTTGGGTGAAATGCCCCATTCAATAGCTAATGCTTTTAAATAATTTAGTTCTTCATCAAGGGATAGTTTGGAGGAGCAAACTTGAAGAGCCACGGAAAACATAGGAATAAAATGAAGCTAACTTTTGTTTAGTTCTCACCTGTTTAAAGCTCAAAGGATGAAATATAAGCACTCGTAAGCAGACACTGAAAAGTTACTTCACAACGTGAAAATTTATTTAAAATTCTAAAAATGTATGAGCAATTTTTTTTTTTTTTTTTTTCTTTCAGGGAATTCCTCCTTGACAACAAAGACGAAAGAAAGAGAAGAGATGGTTACCTGTTGGATGCCTTTGTGGAATCGTCTGAAAACTCGTAAGCAGACACTGAAAAGTTACTTCACAACGTGAAAATTTATTTAAAATTCTAAAAATGTATGAGCAATTTTTTTTTTTTTTTTTTTTTTTTTTTTTTTTTGTCTTTCAGGGAATTCCTCCTTGACAACAAAGACGAAAGAAAGAGAAGAGATGGTTACCTGTTGGATGCCTTTGTGGAATCGTCTGAAAACTTTTTGAGCAGGGAGGTGCAGGAAAAGACTCCCTTTTTGTCTTTCTTTGGCTTGATTTCTTCGCCAAAAATCACGGTCTGAGTTTGTAAGTCGTAGGAGTTGTACGGCGCATTGCTGCAATTGCACAAGCAGATAGCATCGCCGCTGGTTCGAACTTCGGGATAGGTGAAGGAATCGGACTTACGGACTAAGTACCTCCTCCTCTCCATCCTTTTCACGAAGTATCACAGAATCCATTTCTCGTTATCGTATCTTCCATCCTCTTTTATTGCGTTTCTGAAAGAAAAAGAAATCAGATTAATTCGTTTAATTAGAGTGAATTTTATTGTATAGAGATCAACAGGTGACTCAAAAACTTAGTGACTTAAAAACTTAACTCGAGTAACTTACAAACTCACACTATTAATACTGTTACGTAATATCCAGGTGCGGTAAGATAGCTTCCCCGCAAAGCAGGTTTAGGGTTGCCATAAAATGCAAGGGAAGACAGGGTTGCCACATTTGGCGAGAAATCGCCCATTTGGTGACATGCAATGGACGGATGAAGAACCTTCTGGAACGAATTCTTACCGGTTTAGCCCAGAATGTTCTCGAACACAAGCCGAAAGCTATATTAACCCTGCTGGTCCGCAGTCAGAGTGTGTGCCTCATCTAGCGAGCTGATAGTCAGTCACTGAGCGAGTGTCTCGTCTAGTGCCGAGTTGGTCGTCGAGTGCATGGGTGTCCGCCGATAACATCGTGGCAAAAACATCGCGGACGAAAACGTCGCAGAGAAAACAACGCAAGGCGAAAACGTCGCGCTTCAAAACATCGTGGGAGAAAACATCGCAAAGAGAAAACATCGTGGTACAAAACATCGTCGTCGAAAATAGAGCGGTTCAAAAACTTCGCAGTTTAAAAACATCGTCGTCGAAAATATCGTGGTAAAAAATAAAGTATCTACAAATCATCGCGTGACGATAATATCGCAGACATGCTTTTTTTAGACTTTAATAATTGTAAATAGATATTCCCATAATAATTTGTGAGCGCAAGATAGAAATAAGGATAATTTGTTTTTCATATTTTATATTAACTAATAAATTTTTGCTGAGAAAATAAGAAGGAAACTTAAGCATAGAAAATTACTATGCTTAAGTAATGCAACTTATAGCACTTAATAGAATTTTAAACCGACATAGTTAACTAACAAAGACCATTAATAAATCATTTTTTATAAAGTTTTTACTGGTAATTTTTCATAAAAATTATAATCTATAAGTTGCATTTAATTTTCTATGCTTATGCTTCCTTCTTACTTTTTCAGCAAAATTATTAGTTAATAAAAAAATGTGAAAGTAAAAATTATCCTTCTTTACATCTTGCGCTCACAAATTATTATGGGAATATCTATTTACAGTTATTAAAGCCTGACAAAAGCATGTCTGCGATGTTATCGTCATGCGATGATTTGTAGATACTTTATTTTTTACCACGATATTTTCGACGACGATGTTTTCAAACTGCGAAGTTTTTCAACCGCTTTATTTTCGACTACTGTGTTTTGTACCACGATGTTTTAGAACTGCGATGTTTTCTCTTTGCGATGTTTTCTCCCACGATGTTTTGTAGCACGACGTTTTCGCCTTGCGTTGTTTTCTCTGCGACGTTTTCGTCCGCGATGTTTTCGGCTGTAACCAGTGCATGGAAGAGTCTCTTAGTGTATCGCGGTCAGTGCATCGTCGAGAGAGTGTGTTAAGCTCCGGGAACGACTGAACCGAAGAGTGGGGAGCTGTGCTCTGTGTGTCGTCGAGTGCATTGCGAGTTGTAGCGTGGAGAGTCTCGGGAGTACGTGTTTGGAGCTGTCCTGATTAATATTGACAAATAAAGTGTGTTTCGATATTTCTTCAAGTGCTGTCGTCGTTATTTACTCCAAATCCGTACGAACGCGAAGGAAAAAAAACAACGTAACAATATATATGTGGTGTTATATATGATGTATGTGTGATGTCATATGTGATTTATGTTTGTGTAACAAACTCATGCGACTCAAAAACTTACACTATTAATATATATATATCAACGAGTAAGAATTGTAAGAATTGGAGGCTCCCTTCAGCCCACATGGACACGAGTGTCCCCATAGCTCAAAAGAAGGGGCCCCATATCTCCACAAACGAGGGCAGCCAGAAACCCAGCCACCCCCAAACAACAAACAAAAATACTAAATCAAAAATAAGTAAGCACATCTAACACAAAATTACAGACCAACAAACAAACAAACAAAAAAATCCCTAAACACAAATTCACAACATAGAACACCATATATCAACGAGTATAGTTTAGGTTAATTTTTTTAAATTAGAGTGCAATAGTTTATTTTATAAAGACTGCCAAGTGTGGCTCAAGTGACTTAGATACTTACGCTAATATATATGGGAATGAGTATTATTCAGTTTAATTGGTAATTAGAGTGCAACAGTTTATTTTATGGAGACTGCCAAGTGTAACTCAAGTGACTTAAAAACTTACACTATTAATAAAAAAGGAATGAGTATTATTCAGTTTAATTGGTTTAATTAAAGTGCACCAGTTTATATTATATAGACTGCCAAGTGCGACTCAAGTGACATAAAACATTCCACTATTAATATATATATATATATATATATATATATATGGGAACGAGTAATGTTTAGATTTATTGGTTTAATTGCATCGCAAAAGTTTATTTTATAGAAACTTCCAAGTGTGACTCAAGTGACTTAAAAAGTACACTGTTGATATATATATGTGAATGAGTATTGCTCGATCACCTGCTAAACATTTTTATTAAGTTGCGAAAACTGCGAGAAATGTTGAAATTTTCATTTCCAAAGCAAGAAATATTCAAATTTTACCGACTTCATATGAAAAAAACTATTTTGGGACTTAAAACAGGCAAATCGACAGCCTTGTACTCGTGGTAGATTTTGTAAACTCCCAATCGATTTCGAGGGCAAAATGGGTCCCCCTTCATCAGGAACAAAAAATTCTGCCCTAAGAAATGGAGATGGTTCAAGAATTTCATACGCTTAAGGTGTAACTTACAAAATAGGTTCTTATCTGTTAACATAATTCAAAAGCATAAACAAGCAAGGAAAATAGATTTAACAAAATATATTAAAAAAAAAAAAAAAAAAAAAGAACTGGAAAATAGTAAAACAGTTAAAATTATCGGAAAAAAAAACCATTGGAAAAGGAAAATTAATATCGTTAATATCATTAAAAACGGAACAAATACAAAAAGCGATACAATAAAAAAACGAAAAAACTATTGATGCAATAAAAAATAATATTTAACCAGGTAATTAGTAATATGACTAAATGATCCACCAAGGGAAAAAAAAAAGAAGAAACTCAGAAAAATTTTTTACTCTTGATGAAGGCAGAATTTTTTGCTCCTAATGAAGGATTTGTCCTAATTTTGTCCTCGAAATCGACAGCATTTTCTGCAGCGGGAAATTAAAAATAATTGACACTCGTTGAATGTTTTGTAACACTGAATACAATGCCTGTGTAAGATGACTTAGCTGAATCGGTAGTATCGAGGGTCATCGGTCGTTTAGACGCAAGTAGTCAAAACGCAATCAAAGTCAATCAAAACGCAAGTAGTCAAACGCATTGTGCTTCTCAAAGAGTCACTTCCTGTGCCCTTCTGCAATCACGGAATCGGATTTTGGAAACTAGAAATTTTCCCTGAAGATCAGGACAAGGTTGAACGGCTGCAACAAAACAAAATGAGGATCGGTGTTTAACACGAACGGCAAAAAGAAACCGCACTGTGAACGCCACCTTCTTGCAACAGCACCTTCAGAGTGTTATTCGTATCAGAGTTTTGACCCAGATTGTTCGAAACCGACACCACCATGTGGGTTTGTATGTTCGCAGACCCATGGTTTATGTTACGCCGACACAAGACCACCATGCTGCCCCCAGAAGGTGCGCTCAGGAGCACCTCAGATGGGAACTAGATGGACTGGAGCATATGTTATGAACGCTGCCTTTTTGCAACAGCACCTTCAGAGGGTTATTAGTACCAGAGTTTTGATCCAGACTATTCGAAACCGACACCACCATGTGGGTTTGTATGTTCGCAGACCCATGGTTTACGTTACGTCGACACATGACCACCGTGCTGCCTCCAGAAGGTGCGCACAAGAGCACCTCAGATGGGAACGAGATGGACTGGAGCATATGTTCTTCTCGCACGAGTCCCGCTTTAGTGTACAGCCCGACAATGGGCAAATTCTCATCTGGAGAGAGCCTGGTACACAGAGTACTTCTGCACTTGTGCATGAAAGTGTCAGATTTGGTGGAGTGATGGTCTGCATCGGTATTTCTATCAATGGCCGCACCGATCCGCACATTATCAAAAGAGCACAGACGGCTCAACGATAGAGGGAATGCGAACCTCAGACATATTGCGCTCTTTTACGCTGCAGCATTAGAGAACGCATTCCTTCTTCATGGATGATAACGCCAGGCCACATAGTGCTCAGCTTGTGGGGAGTCTCGATTTCGACAAGAAATTCTTCGAATGGATTGACTAACATATCCTCCAGATATTAACCCAACAGAACATGTTTGGAACATTCAATGGTTGCTAGACGTTAATCATCTCCAGAAACAATTCAGCAATTTGAAAGTTGTATTCTACAGAAGTGGAAAAGAAGACCTAAGTTCTTCATTGATTCTGTGCCTCGAAAGTGAGCGACATTGCTTTCGGTAAAGGTAAAGCATGCACTTTAATGAAACTTATTTTGCATCCGAGAAATAACTTTTTTTGGGTATAATACGAACAAGTTGTGCATTTTTTGTTTACCGGCAAATATCGTGAATAAAATTTAATTATTCTCAATCCGTTGCTTCTTTTTCTCTTCTCATATTTTACAACACTTATACATCCCATATCAGTCACCAAAGCATTTCTTCATCCACAGTTTACTTCCCCAGTAATCCTTTCGACGAGGATCGAAGCCAGGACTTATTTATTACGAATTATTATTATTTATTACGAATTTATTACTTACTTATTACGAATGGAATTATTTATTACAAATTACTATTATTATTTATTATTACGAATTATTGTCATTTATTACGAATTTATTTTATTATTCGAATTATTTATTACACTATTATTACGATTATAATATTTATTACGATTATATTATTTATCTATACGAATGGTATTATTTATTATTACAAATGGTTATTATTATTTATTATTATTTTATTTGGAATTTATTACTTATTTATTATTACGAATTACTGTTATTTATTACGAATTTATTACTTATCGAATGGAATTATTTATACAAATTGTTATTATTTATTACTTATTACGAATTTATTACTTCT